GTAAAGAGTTACAAAGGGATCTCACAAAACTGGGTGATTGGGCAACAAAATGGCAGATGAAATTCAATGTTGATAAGTGCAAAGTACTGCATTTTGGAAAATATAATCCCAACTATACATACAAAATGATGGAGTCTAAATTAGCTGTTAACACTTAGGAATGAGATCCTGGGTAGTTCTCGGAAAACATCAGATCAGTGTGGAAGCAGCAATAACTTAACAATGTTAGGAACCATTAAGGAAGGGATGGATAGATAAGACAGAAAAATCATGCCACTATATAAATTCATGGTATGTCCACACCTTGAATACTGTTTTTTTTTATATGGAGATATACCTATCTCATTGAACTGGAAGGGACCCCGAAAGGTCATTGAGTCCAGCCCCCTGCCTTCACTAGCAGGACCAAGTACTGATTTTGCCCCAGATCCCTAAGTGGCCCCCTCAAGGATTGAACTCACAACCCTGGGTTTAGCAGGCCAATGCTCAAACCACTATTCCCTCAGTTCTGGTTGCCCCATCTCAAAAAAGATATACAGGAAGAGCAGCCTGTTGCAGCTAGCTGGTGGGGGCTTGGAACCAGGGTAGACCGGGAGCCCCTCTATCAGCTCCCCCAACCCCTAAGTTCCCTGTGCAGCAGCTGCCCAGCAGGCTATGAATTGCCGGCAGTTCATCTGTCCCTCCCCCCACTGCCATGTGCTGCTCCTGCCCTCTGCCTTGGAGCTGCTCCCCGAGACTCCTGCTTGCTGTGCTGGGGGGCGGGGGGGGGGAAGGGAGAGGAAGAGGGGGGCAGTCAGAGTGTCCCCCTCCCCCCCTGCTCCTGCACCCTGCTTACCCCATCTTCCATAGAGCAGGGGGGACACACAACAGGGCTCAGGGCGGCGGGAGCTTGCTGGCAGCAGCTGCAGTTTCAGCAAGCTGATCTAATTAACAAGGCAGTGTACTCAAGAGTAGGGTCAGCGTACTTAAAGGGGAAATGCGTATCTCTCTCTCACACACGGTGTGTGTCTCTGTCTGCGATGCTGTCTCCCCTCCCTCCATTCCTGCTGCCTTGTAGAGTGTGAGAGTTAACCCTTGAGGGCTCAGCCAATTGCTAGTTCATCATTTAGCAGTAAGGCATTCCCTGGGAAATATCCCACCCTCTGACTCCTCCACCTCTACCAAGCTTCAAAATCATCATCACTGTGTACCAGTATTAAATTGTTTGTTTAAAACTTATAGTGTGTGTGTGTGTGTGTATACATATATATAAAATATAGTCTATTGTCTGGTGACACAAATTTCCCTGCAACCTAATCCCCTCATTTACATTGGTTCTTATGGGGAAATTAGATTCGCTTAACATCGTTTTACTTAATGTTACATTTTTCAGGAACATAACTACAACGTTAAGTGAGGAGTTACTGTACTAGAACTGGAAAAAGTAAAGTGAAAGGCAACAACAACAACAAAAAAGATAATGGGTATGGAAAGCTTTTATATAATGAGAGACTAAAAAGACTGGAACTATTCATCTTAGTCCATTTAATTTAACACAACACATCTCAGGGTGCATATTCTCAAGGAAAAAGTATGTTACCATGTTAGCTAACACATGGTAAGTAATGTGAGGTAAAATCCTAGTGAAGACAAAGCAGTTTATAGTTTTCATGTTAACAGGTCAAGTTAAAGGGGGGGAGGGGGGGAGCCAACCTAACGTAGGGTAGAAACACTTTTCTTAGTAAAGAGAAGGTCTCAGAATTATTACCTTATTGTATCATTTTCCACTCCCTTTGCTCTATCAGTGTTCACAAGTTTTGCCACCCATTAGTCTACCTCTCCTACCATTCCTTATGTACAAACTCCCTCCCCCCCAAATTTGTAAAAACACTACCTTATCTTTCTTGAGACACACGTCTGACATGATATCTACGTAGCAACGCTGGCCCAATAATAGCTCCATAAACTTATCAAGCTTAGTCTTGAAGCCAGATATGTCTTTTGCCTCTACTGATCCCCTTGGAATGCTGTTCCAGAACTTCACTCCTCTGATGGTTAGAAACCATCTAATTTCAAGTCTAAACTTCCTGATGGCCAGTTTATATCCATTTGTTCTTGTGTCCACATTGGTACTGAGCTTAAAGAATTCCTCTCCCTCTC